CAAAAACTCCCAACAGCAACAGCCTGCTCATAGGTGACCTTGTATTTGAGTGTTTTTTTAAAAAATCACTTTATTGGGAGCTCATACAACTCTTATCACAATCCATACAGCCATCCATTGCAGCGGTTCTCAATCTGTAGGTCAAGACCCCCTTTGGGGGGCGAAGGACCCTTTCACAGAGGTTGCCCATGACCATCGGAAAACACCTATTTCTGATGGTCTTAGGAGCCGAGACACTGCTCCTCTATGTGTGTCCAGGCCGTCCGCCCACATGCACATACATACACCCACATACGAGTACAGGGCGTGCAGACTGCTACCCATACTCCACCATGCTTCAACACAAAAGTTCATTGATTTGTCATTAGAAATAAATATTTCACAATATATTACATAATGTTTTGTGATTAATCACTATGCTTTAATTATGCTCAATTTGTAACAATGAAAATACATCCTGCATATCAAATATTTACATGATGATTCATGACAGTAGCAAATGACAGTCATTAAGTAGCAATGAAAATGATTTTAGGGTTGGGGGTCACCACCACATGAAGAACTGTATTAAAGGGTGGCGGCATTAGGAAGGTTGAGAACCACTGCACTAGTGATTGATTTTAGAATGTACTCTCATATACCCAGGTTCAGGACACAATTAGTTTAGACTATTCTTCAATATAGCGTTTGTTTTAATATTGTTCCTTTTGATGTTAAAATCTGAGTGGTGTAGTTAATCCTGTTATGGTAACCAGGATGTTATAGTCAATTTTGGTATTGTTTCTTTTATGATAAGGGTGTACCTTGTAATGCATGCTTGCTCCTCCTGAAGCTACCAGAATGTTATAATCAATGTTGTACCCTGTAATGCTCTCTAACCCTAAAGAATAGTAACATTAATTTTGCTTTCTGCTCTGTCCACGCTTACTTAAGTCTTAGACAAAAGATAAATGAGTTTTCTACCTTAAAAGATGGACTGAAATGTTGACTCAGGACTGCAATCAAAGAAGCGGTTTTAGATTCTGGCAGTCCAGTTATAACTGAATAAAGACTCTTCTAAATTATCGAGACAGTATAGTGGCTGTCATTTATTTGAACCCATAAACAATGGGGAGATGGTGATATGCCCTTCCCCCAAGCCCAGAATGCACTGCAGGCTTCTCCGATCCCAGGACGGAAAAAAAATCCAGGCCACGGTCCATCTGAGAAGCAGGAGCAGGGATGCAGGGCTCGGAAACAAAACTAGTAGTGGAGGGTGGGGCCCCAGCTCCGGCTCCCTCTCCCTGTAGGCATAGCACTGAGGCCCTTGCCTCCCACCTCACTAAAGTGGGCAGCAGAGATCCAGAAGGCTTGGGCTTCCTGGTCGGTGGGTAAAAGACACAGGATGGCCAACAGGGCCCTGGGTGCCAGGCAGAGCCTGGTATACACGGGCATCCCTGCACACAAGCCCCGGTGGGCGGCACTGCCCAAATGCCTGCCGCAGGTGGGGAATTGAGAAGGCATGGCTCTATGCGCCGCCCCCCTCCAACCACCGGCTGAGGGAGGG